CAGTCCTCAACTCAATAAACTATTCATTACAGGAATGCATACTTAAGCCTGATGCAGTTTAACACAGCCAATATGGGACAGAGGAGCGGCTGGCCGGGAGACCCAGGTTCAAATCCTCTGTAAGGCTGGGGATTTTTTCTGTCGGTGGCAAAATAAAATCCCTACCTGCACAGTCGTGGCGACAACACTAGCCATGCGGCCATAAATCCTTAGGCTCAAAGACACCCCCCCCCCCCCCTTGCCTACACTGCAAAAGTGGTAAAATAAAGGCAGTAATTAGCAGTATTTTTGTTTGTTTTGCAGTTACTTTGGGATAGAAGTGGAAAAACTAATATTTCAGTTCCAAAGGGTTAATGCAACGTCAGTCTGTGGTACAAAATAGCAAGAACATTACATTACCTTGGCACAAACATACAGTACTTGTTTCGTACTGAAAGAGTTAACACAGTATAATGAAATCAGTGGATTATTATTTTCAGTGGACTGTCAAGGAAGGGAAGTGGCCACCTCACCTCATATGCTATGGCCTAGAGCTGTCTTTCCAGGATCCTTGTCCGGGCCTACACAACCCTAAAAAGTGTTAAATGCAGGTGATAATGACAGTTTTCTAACAAATATCCATAAAAGTGGAAAACATGTACACACAACTGTAAGTAGTTCAATGGCTGGTGATAACAATTTGTATCCACAATGTTAAGACTGACAAATCATTATTTAACTCTTTGGAGACGACGCGGCCAAAATATCAGCCCGACATAAAGTAGCCAAAAAGATGACTGGGATGATCGGTCAGCCCTATGTAATACAAGCCTTGAGATTGGCTGGCAGGCTTTTGTACCAGCCAATAAGATTGCTTCTCGCATTTCTTACACAAGTGTGTTGTTCACTGATGGCCTTCGAGAAAGTTTAATGTGTTCGGTAATTTTACATCAATTATTTTCGGAGGTTACCTATGCCTAACAATGGCAAAAAAGAATGTTGTGTCATAGCAACCGAAACATATCTGGAGGCAGGAAAATGAGTAGAACCATGTGCCAGAAGTGTCTTAAGGGACTCCAAGGGCCTTGCTTCCTAAAACACAAGTGTTAGGACTTATTCAAGTTTCATCTATATAAAAATTCACTCAAACTTTTTAGGTTAGTCATGTTTGTTCCCAAGTTAAAAACAAAATGCTTGCATAAATTATGCAAATCAGAACAGTTAATTTGAATAAATGTTGAGATTTCTGTTAAATTTCCTGCATGAATATATATAGTTTTGTACATGTTAATTAAATACATTACTTTTTATTATTTTTTTGGTATAAACTATGAGAATCCCCCCACCCCCCCACCCCTCTTTCCTCTTAAGGCTTTGTCTTTTTGGCACTGAAACTCCAAATAAGTTCCTGTCTCCAGAGGGTTAACCTCACAAACTGGCAAGCTTAAATATTATTTCAATTATTTACCATTTCATTAACTGAAGCAGGCAAAGCTGACTTTAAATCATCATTCTGTGTCAACACTGTGATGTGTGATTGGCTATTCTCTCTGCATCCCAAACATCGTGTCTGTGTCTTCTCACTTTTCCCTTTTGGTCTGCACACTTTAAAAATCAAACATCTCAGTGGCATATTTGATTATTTTTACAGTCCTACAACCCAGTATTGTTATAGCTTGCTTTCATCAGATAATGTAACTGGAAAAAAAATGGTTACTTGTACTCAAAATTTTCTGAGACTGAGCGAATTAAAAAAAAAAAAACATATGCATAGAGACTTTAAAATGTGGACAGGAAAATCTGAAGTAAATATTTCGCAAACAGAAATTAAACTAAGAGCTGTTTGTTGCAAAAAATATATTTAAAAAAAAAAATATTTTATAACATTTCAAACAATAAACATTTCTTTAAAGAAAGAGAACGTCACCATAAACATATCTGTGTTACAATAATAATTATGTGGCTGTGTTAATATGTGGTCCATATGTGACTGGAATAAGCCGTATTGTGGTTACTTTCCATATTAAAAACATTCATGCACAGGGAACTTCTTGAAAACATCTCTGTTTACATTTCAACTGTAAGTCTTTGTGGCATAGTTAGTAGTGCACTGGCTTGGCAACACAGTAATCCAAGTCTGATACCCCGTTAACTGTTTTTCTTTTGTTCCTTCTCAGATGCCTAATTATGGTTCGGTTATAAACTTTACTGTTAGTCTAAGGAATATGTAATCTTCAACCCAATTCTGATATTCCAAAATAAAAGAGGTCCAAATGTCATATGATTGTAACGTACTTTTGAAAGATTTGCCTATGCCCTTGTATTCATTCTTTTTTTCCTCTCTAAAACAAGTTCTTAACTATTTCTATGATCCTCAAAATTGCACTTACGAATAGGAAATCTGACAACTTCTCTGAGCAAACCCTGGACAACTGTGTCGCTAAGTCAAAGCACTTACTACCACAGATCATATACATAATTGCCACGTTTAATTATCGGAACAATATATTTGATGAGACAGAATAAATGTGCATAGAGCATTCAAGATGTGGTGTCTTGAGCAGGCAACAGTCTTGCATAGCACACAATGGAGCAGTATGCTCAAGAAGGCATATAAACAAAAGCAACACAATATTAACGTACTGATGCACTGCTAACACGGCCAATAGTTTACGAATACAACACCTGTACATCATGTAAGGAATAGTTATGTTTTTGTTATATACAATAGTAACAATGAAAATACCATAAGTAAAACAGTAAGGAAAGGACACTTTTCTCACCAGTGGCACAATGGGCATATGATGCTACTCATTTCTATTAACCAATCAGCTCTAGTTGGCTGGTGTGGTCAACATTAACCTGGCCACTTTTACTTCCCAGGATTTTACCTGGTAACCCATTTTAGGCTCGGTCACACCAAGGTCATTTTTGGAGAGGGACAAAAATCTGGCTCAAAGCAGCTTTGAACCCATGACTTATGAATTGTAAGGAAAGTTTCTAGCTGCTACACCACCGGTGCTCCCAAACTGTGCCATAAGCTCAATGCTTAAATATCAAAATGACAAACTATGAAGCAGACTCAAGCGTGTCATGAACACCAGGCAGGTAAAATATGCGGCCCCTTGTACCCAATAAGTTTTATTACATGACTTTAATCTTCTTTTTCACATTCAGCGGCTGTAAACTTGGGTGGAAAGTTCTGGTTGTTCATCCACTTCTGGACTCTAGTGCTGTTCCAGAACCTGAGTGTTGCGTGCACATTTGTTTCACAGGTCTGACTCATTTGTATGCAGACTGCTGGTTCCTTGTCTCTCAAGCAGAAATACTCCGGATTTGAAGGAAGCTCCCAATTAGTCGACTGATGACAAGTTTTTGGGCAGGCAGTGGGTCTATTCTTGCTTGCCCCCACATTGGGGCCCTGGAACCCACACGGGGAATTACTTTAATTATTTCTTATGTGGGGTCCTCGACAACACAAATGCCCCACATGGGCCTCAGGGTAAAGAAGAGAGAGAAAGGGGGTTGGGGGGCAGTTTGACATGCCTTGGTACACAATCAGTAGCGGGTCTATGGGTGTCCATGTTAACTGACCGACTACCCACCTCTCGGCTGCTACCTAAAAGCCTGATGTCCCTACAACCCTGGGAACAGCATCCTGAACTGCCAATCCCATAGGATAAGCTTAGATAGCCTATCCAAACTACCAAAGGGTTATAATTAGGGCACCTGTAACAGTTACACCAAGTAACACTTGTGTATGTCACCCTGCAGTTCCAAGTGGGTAAGGGATTGATCTGTTTAACCAAATCAACACATTTTATTATGTCAATGCAGGACAAAAAGAGGAACAGCTGGTTGAACTTTAACAACACTGGGTTCTCATGCAAGGGACCAGGTTCATTTCTTGGTAGGTTTACTACCGTTTTTTCTTTCTTTCTGTGTCCTCAGGCTTAAAGATTCCCCTGTCTACACTGTAAAAGTGGTAAATACAGGCAGTAAGTGCAGTTCTTTGGCAGGACATAAATAACAACTAGATAAATCAAACTGATTGAAAAATATGGTTCCTGAGACAAAAGAATGATACATTAGAAACTGAAAGTAGGAAATAAAGCGAAACAATTCTAATGAAACATAAATGAAGCTTGCAAAAAAGCGACTAATATGACCAATGTTAACTAATGAGGAGATGACTTCATCTAGAAAAGCCACTAATATGACCAATGGTAAATAATGAGGAGATGACTTCCTCAAGAAAAGCCACTAATATGACCAATGGTAACTAATGAGGAGATGACTTCATCTAGAAAAGCCACTAATATGACCAATGGTAACTAATGAGGAGATGACTTCATCTAGAAAAGCCACTAATATGACCAATGGTAACTAATGAGGAGATGACTTCATCTAGAAAAGCCACTAATATGACCAATGGTAACTAATGAGGAGATGACTTCCTCAAGAAAAGCCACTAATAAAACCAATGGTAACTAATGAGGAGATGACTTCATCAAGAAAAGCCACTAATATGACCAATGGTAACTAATGAGGAGATGACTTCATCAAGAAAAGCAATCAGTTAGCTGGCATAGAAATGACATGTTCCTTGCCTCTCTGGCAGATGCACTCTGACCTTTGAGGAAAAACGCCTAATTAGTAGCCTTCTATGCTTGTTTGGCAGTGGGTTGATCCTCCATCCTCCCCCAGTGGGGCCTGGAACCCACCCAGCGAGCTGTAATATGTGCACCATAAGAACATTAGGCATATGGTGCCAGACCAATATATTTACAGATCAATCTGTATTTAAGGGGGGATGTGGTCAGCTGGTCACCTTGATTTTCCCAGGACATTTTCTGCTTTCCATTTCAGTCCAAATCCTTTTGAGAGCCAAGCACCACCAACCAGATGTCAAGTTGCTGGTGAGACAGGGGGAAAACACAAGAAAGAAAATGGTATCTGATTAAAATGTAAGCATTTTTGGTCTAGTTGCATATATCACAAACAGTTGAGAAACAAAGGCTTCACAGTAAACTCTGAGCATCCATTGTCAGTCTGCACATCAAAGATGAGCTGCTGACTAAAAGTTCTCCATTGTTATCACTAAATGACCGGTTACGACCTGCGTATGCCAGCGCTGCAGACTGGTCGGTGATCTGAAGGGCCAGCAGCCCTTCATCTAAACTGTAACTCCTCTGGTCAGCTGTTCGAAGCTGATCTATAAGGTGATCATTGTCTGTAGCACCATTGACTTCGGTGTTTGAAGAGTGTTCTGCTCCACAATTGACAAAGTGATCGCTGTCCCCACTGTCATAAGACAGATCCAAGATATCTGCTGAAGAGTTGGACCCAATACTGCTGATACTTAACCTGTTCCTGCCATCATCACCTGCAGCTTTTTTCAGGATGCTCTTTGGTCGGTAGATGACTTTGACTGGTTCTTTACTGAAAGTACTGGCATTTGTGGAATCTTCTGTTGCTGTCTGGGTGCTGGCTTCTTGCTGTGGTGAAACATTTCCATTAGTGAAAACTGTGGTTCTGTCAGCAGTGAAGTCTTCAACATAATCAGGATGGCAATAAGTGGCAGGTGTGTACGGTATGTTCTCTTGGGGTTTTCTTGGGTGGGAAAGCTGAAGATGGTACGTCTGTTGTGTGAGTACCCGAGTAGAGGAAGAAGAAGCTGATGAGAGCACAATGGGGCTGCTACAGCTTTCAAGGTGTAAACTTTCAGAAGCATGTTCCAGAAGCTGGCTAGACTGATGCTTCGATGCAAAAATACCGTGAGCTTCACCCCTGAAAGAGGGAAGTCTATGTGGCAGATGTCCAGATTTGGGTAGCGCATTTTCTTCTGCTCTCACTGCCATTTCCTCTGGTGTAACACAACCACTGTCATTTCCTGAAAACTTTCCTTTTCTTTTCAAGATACCCCTCTTGGGTTTCCTCTCTGAATCAAAAACTGAAGAAGATGAAGATGATGACATCTTGTCTGATCCTGCATTCTCTGTATTTTCTGTCCCCGTGTGCGAAGATTTGCTGCCACTGTTACTGATGTTTGCATCAAAATCAGAAGAGTTTCTATCCATATTCAGCAAGGCTGCTAGTGACTTACTGCTACATCCCTTTAACATTTCTAAAACATCAGGTGGTAGCTTCAGCAACCCTGAAGCAATTGCTGCAGGATCATCACCAGCTTCCCGTGCAAAGTCCTTGGAGTTTTCACATGTTGGAGCTGGACTACTGGCCACAGACGAGGAGACACTATTTCCCGTACTGTCTAATGAGATGGTTCTCTTAGACCATCGGTTTGGCTTGAAGTCCAGCTCCACGTCAGAGTCTGATGAAATGCTGCTCTGGTTCCGGTGGTGAATGATTACTGGGTTCAAGGTGGCAGTAACTGACCGTTTCTGAGCAGACACACTGTGTGGTATGAGAGAGGGTTCATCGTCGGGGCTGTAAGCCATGTCATTTGGCATCAAGGAGTGGCCAAAGTTCACCCACCAGTGACGGAGGGCGTCATCCATTGTGGCACGGCGGGATGGTGTGACTGTAAGCATATGTCGTATAAGACCTGCCGCATCTGCCGACAACAAACGTGTGAATATTATTTCATGTCTTCCAAAAGGAAACACACATAAATATTACCCATGAATAATTTCATGTGTGAGGGTGAATGCATTTAAGACTAACAGACATACATACAGATGACAGACAGACAGAGATAAGAAAAACAAATGTACATATAGACAAAAACACTGTTAACGCGAATTTCAATAGTTTGTGTTAAAAAATCTAGCTAACCTGGGACTAATAGATTTCTGCATGCATTTAAGATAGACAGACAAGAAAAACAGACAGATAAACGCATAGACGGAGAGACACAAATTTTAACACAAATTTCAAGAGTTCGTGTTAAACAATCTTGTTACTTGAGACTAATAGATATATTATGATAATACATCATTGCTGGGACCAAAAATGTTCACGTTAACCGAGTGTTTGCTTACGCCAGTTCGTGTTAGAGAGTTTGGTTCTATCATAATATCTCCCCCCAAACAGACAGCTTAATATTTTAGGGGATGGTAGATAGGCTGCGTGCAGCCGTAGAATCTAGGCTGCACTCTCTCATGGGACATAAGTGGGTTGGAGTTAGGCCCAGTTCTAGATGTTTTGGGGTAGTTAAAAACATCAGAAAGCTGGGAAACCTGCTCTTACTACCCTCGAACATATTGGACTGCTCTGTGACGTCATTATGGGAGAGGGGGGGGGGGGGACATTGGGAAAGCACCAGGAGTTTACTTGAGGAGTGAGGGAGGAAGAGAGATAGAGTGAGCGAGAGAGAGAGAGAGAGAGAGAAAGTGAGAGAGAGAGAGAGAGAGAGAGAGAGAGAGAGAGAGAGAGAGCTTGTCAACATAGTGCAGTAAAACTGTACAGCAAACAGCCAGTAATAAAAACTGACATAATCGAATATATATACAAAGCCGATACAAACGATTACACTCCGCCCAACAGACCCAAATGAACACAAAAGGTACAGGCAAAGTCTCTCACGTAATGCTATAAATGTCTCCAATGAACACATCAATCTTTCCCAGACCAAACAGCGTTTGCCTTTCAGCCCACAATGTGCTTTAGCCAGTAGTTAGTGGCTTGGGGCTGATCCCCCCAGTATCGGTGATCAAGGATCATAAACCAGGACGGCATAATAGTTTGCCGACTTTTTAAATGCCAAAGTAAAACCAGACACGCGACTGTTATGTCGATACAGTATCCTTACCCGCACAGGACTGGCATGCACATATTACACCCGCTGCTGTAGCCGTTAGAGATGTCCCAATCATAACTCCTACTGGAAAAGGGGAGGGGGGGGGGGGGGGGGGGCAGAGCCGGGGTATTTAGGATTCACACCGCTGGCTTGGAAGCTACGGTGGCGTAGTGGCTAATGCGAAGGTCCTGGTTCGAATCCAGTTGGACCGAATTTTTTTTTCCCAACACTGACCTTGGCTTCCAGGTCGATTAGCCTTCAATGGGTGCCATGTGACGTCATTGAAAGTAGAGAGGCCGGCATGATGTTGACTATAAAACCCCCTACCCCCCTCCCCCATCAGATTTCTTCGTTAGTTGTTGTTTGCGTTCACCGGCTATAAACTCTAGTGGAAAGACCTGGTTGTTCGTCCATTTCTGGACTTTGGCTTTGTTCCAGGACCTGAGTTTTGCGTGTGCATCTGTTTTACAGATCTGACTTATTTGTATGCAGACTGCTGGTTCCTTGCCTCTCAGGCAGATGCACTCCGACTTCAAAGGAAGCCCCCAGTTAGTCGACTCTTACAACATGCTTTTTGGGAAGGCAGTGGGTCTATTCTTGTTTTCCCTACAATGGGACCCAGGAACCCACACCGGGGTCTTCGTAAGTGCTTTGCTGAAAGGGAGAAAAAAAATTCGACATGTTCAACCAGCATCCCCGAGCGGTATGTTATAATTGTGACCAGGTTATGTGAGCCACATAAATGGCTTAAAACTGCACGTCACCAAGAGCCCTGAAAAAGGACTTCCGCAGTGTTGATGCGATCAGGTAAATTTTACGCTGGTCTCCCCATTTACACACCGCTACACACTAGATTGCTTCTAATGGACGACCTACATACCAACTCACTTTTAATAGGTCGGTCTCGAGCGATCTGACTTTCACACAAGGTCATGAGGATATTCCGCCCTCACGCTGATAACACCATGCCAGAGCTTTTATCACTTCTAAAACATTTAGATACTGGGTCTAACACACAACCCCCCCCCCCCCCCCGAGAGAGTGACAAAACCTATGTCACGGGCCGTCTCTTACTTGGAAAAAAAAAGAAGTAAATGCAAGACAGCAATGGGAAGACCATCGTATAAATAACCTGCGATCCAAAGAGACCAAATACTAACCCGACCGGCAAGCCAATGGGCGTCCTGGTCGCCGATGTGTGATTTCTTTGTTGCGGTGCGTCTGACTGAAATTACCCCCCTATCTTTAACACATCTTTCGCCCTCCTAAACCCGAAAACTTTTCTTTTAAAAAACGGAGGGGGGAAAAGGGGGGGGGGGGGGGGGTCTGTCACGGTGGCGAACGGGTCAAGCCATTTGCCAGGCGCTCTGAAGGTCGTGGGTTCGTTTCACGTCGTTCGGTCCACGAGTGTAGTTTGTACGCAGATCCCTGGGGGTCATCGCCAGAGCTACGGCGTTCGTGTTTTCAGTGGTGCTCTCGGCAGGTGGAAATAGACTGAACCGTATGGAATAAAACCCGATGCAACGAAGTCGATCCTGTGGAAACGAAGTCGATCCTGGGGACTCAAAACAGAAAAAGCAGACTGCCTAAAAAACCCTCTCCCTGTGTTTCCCTGAGAATTTCCACCCATCAACCCGTCTACTCACGCATTTCCAAAATACCGGCATTCTGGAAAGATAGCAAGCGTGTGCACACAATCAGTGTTTTCCGCCTTCCTAATTTGTAAAAGTAAAAGTAAAGTCGGGACATGTAAACCAGCGTCATTGCACACGGTTATGAACCATAAGTGCTCTGCCTCCAGTACGGACAGCTGATAAGAAACTGCCCCTCTGTGTCGCCACAAGCACGTAACTCCGTAGCTACAGCGACGTTCCACCATTTACCCCTGTGTTAACTCTGGTACGGGCTATTCAACTAAGTCTTCTCAGGGGCCAACATTTGAAAAATCGGGATCGTCAGGGGCCAGAAACCCGAGCCAAAGCACAGAAAACCTCATTAATATAACACAAATGGCAAAGATCCGCGGGTCACTAGCTAGACATTTACAGGCCAAATGTGGCCCGCGGGCCGCCAGTTGAATAGCACTGACCTAGAGGCTGGGTGAAAAGAACCCGGGAACCGCCCGGTTTCGAACGCCGGCCGTAGGCTGCAGCGAGTCGCAGCTGGATTTGAAAGCGAGTCTCCTATCGACTGCGCTAACGCGGTCCCCTGAACCTCCCAGGCTGATTGTCAATCAAGATAACTGAGGTCTTCATTTGCCTGTTTTTTTTTAACCGACGGAGTTTGGAAACAGATAAAATTGTTATTAGGTTGGTGGAGACAAGATATTCGGGCCTCAATGTGCCGCCTACAACACTACTGATACCACATTGGCAGCTGCCACTACTATTTTTCACTACTATACAAGCGACGATCGGCTCTGTGGCTAAGTCAATGCGAACGCTTAGTAATGCCGGGATGCCGGGTTCGATCCCAGCTGCAAGCCATGCGCCTTGCGTTGGTTTCGACAGTGGTATAAAGAAAGCCGGCCGTCCAGAGAGCAATGGCAAACTACTGGACGTAAATTTGCCTAGACAAACCACACAACAGCCAGGGGCTGTTAGGGTTGGTTCTGCAACATCCTGTAAAGGATAGGTAACTAATCTATACAAGCGACTGTTGCTGCTACTACTGCTGCTACCACTTATACTGCTGCTGCTGTTTCTACTACCAATTAAAATAAACCGAACTTAATGTTGGACTGTTATTTTATTTGCCAGCCAGTTATTGCCACTGGCGTGACAGTGGATAGACAAGACAAGACATGGATGCAGACACTCCAGAAACGGCATCAGTCTCAAAAGTTTTTTTTAAAACCAGTCTAGGCGTGACACTTTTTTTTTCTACCCCTGTAATACCCCACAGGGCCAGGACAGAAAAAGAACCCAAATTACCCGGTTTAAAATAACACCTTGTTCTTACATGCAGAAATACTACGCCTTCGTGTAGGAACATGCCAGATCCGGCAAGATGACGCAGCCCGTCACTGCGTGCAGTTTTACGTCTTCTTCTTCTCTTCCACCTTGTACCTCATCGAAGTGTCGGAGGCAGTTTTACATCAAATCATTAACAATTATTATAAACAGATCTTGTCTTGTGGGGGTGTTTAGAGGGAGGGACAAACGTAACAAATTTTAACCTAGGTCATATCAGATAATGCTGGGGACGAGAAAGATGAGACACACAGACATACGTATGGCAGTCGCACAGATATAAAGAGAAAAGAAAGGTAAATAATTCACAGAAAGACAAAGAGCTGCAGACACAGACAGACAGTTAAATAAGGAGACAAACATACAGACTGACAGACAGAACAAACGAATGAATAAACTTTATTTTCAAAGGTTCACACACTGGACACGGTCTCATATTCAGCCCTTCCAAACACCCATCTTTTAGACAGCTATCGTATGTTATCAATAAAGCATGTTATGTTTATGTAACAATATACATATTATGAATTCCATGTAAACCTAAAAGGCATGGATGGTAAATAAACGCACACAAACACACATACAGGCCTACATAAATACATACACGCCTACATATACACATACATGCATGCATGCATACATACATACATACATACATACATACATACATACATACATACATACATACATACATACATACATACATACATACATACATACATACATTCATACACGCACACACACACACATACATTAGACAGACAGACCCCTACTCCAGCTAACATCA